ATAATTTCCGTATTGCGATGAGAGCTGCTCACACTGAGAATTGATGTGAGCAGTGTCGGCCATCCCTCTGTCTGAAATATCTATGCGTCAGCCACCCCCTATCAGAAAAAGTTTTAGCTGAGCGCTTTTTACGGCCCGCTCAGCTCAGCCACTGAGCGGGAAATTAACCAGGCATGCACGTAACGCTCAGTCGGCAGTGGCCATAGGGGTGCAGGAATTGTCTTCTCCATCGGCATCTGCGCTCCGGTTGGTCGTTGCTGACTGAGCGTTGTGTGCATGCAGGTGCTTTCCTTTTGAGTGGAGCGGGTCTAACAATGCTCAGATAAAACTATCTAATGTCTATGTCACAGCCTCAACAGCCAAACGAGCAGTCTTCTTCCTCGCTTGCACAATAGACCAAAATTGCACTGCATACTGCTTTAGAGGCTTGTTGGCATGTTTCACACTCACTCTCTGCAGAATGCTTGGACTATCGGTAAGCGAGGGAAAAAAAAGTGTGAACACATATCATGCATGCCAAAAGAAAACATCAATGGGACTACACGAGACTGCATTAAAGTTGCTATTTGGGCGCGTTTTATACTGCACAGCCACTGGCTGAGTGACATAAGTGTCACACTTGCCGAGCTTGAAGTACAGTCGTGATCTTTACGAGTGTGAACAAGCGATCGTCGACTGTTCAGTACTGGGAGCATCATGCACCAGCGGACTTGCTCTCCTTTTCAAATGCCTTGCGAACCAAGCATGGTAAATCATCTGATAAGGAGAGAACGTCACCACGGACAGCACTGAGCAGTTGATAATCACCTGCTTACCTTCATATGGATCAAGTCTCTACTTGGCCAAAGTAGGCAGTATGTGTGCAGCAGAAACGGCTGTACTGAAATCTCAAAAGGATGAAAGATCAGAACAGGCTTAATGAGGTTTCACGTTGCAAGTATGCCCATGCAAATTTCACTTTCTAAAACATAAACACGCATTTCAAATTGTCATCCAGGACAAGCTGCTATTACACAGCTGTATACATAAGGCAGCTTACCATCAACAACCTTCGCGGACTGCCATGGACCTGATCCTCGGCTTGGCTGATGATGCCGGAACGAATTGGCCTAGTCGATCCTAGCTTCCGTTCGGCAAGGGCTTCACTGAGTATAACGATGAAAAAAGTGTTGTAGATTATGTGAAACAAACAAAAGCAATCCTAGCATCCACAATTCGCTAGAGGCACTGAAAACAAAAATAAGAGGTTGGGTCAATTATTTTAATGCAATAAACTTCGGACACATACCATGACTGCAGGTAAGGTATTTGCTGCCTTCAATCTAGATCTGCTTGAAAATTTACAAGCCAAATAACAAATATTTGATAAGCTGAAATATATTTTGCTGGAACTACAAAATATGAAGACTATCTCTGCAAATATGGTGCTGTCTAGTACATCAGAGATGAGTAGAATTGGATTACAGCGTCCCCTTACAAAGATTGAAGCAAAACAAGTATAGAATCTGCCGTGCCACTACAGTAAAACCTTGTTAATTCGGATCTCATGGGACCGGCAAAAATGTCCGAATTAACCGAAAGTAGAAATATCGAAAGGACAAAGAAAGCTGCGCGAAAACGTTGCCCTGTGACAAACCTTTATTTTGAGAAAAAATCTGTTATTACCGCCTGCTTTCTGGACGACACTTGGGCGAAGACGGCAACTTTCCTTAGCGCGGTCGAGTGCTCCACCGCACTCGCACTGTCGGAGCTACGCATCCCGTGCGCTGACAATGTAGCACAGCAAGGCCTCTTCTAGTTTCGGGTGCACCACCTTCCAAGGCCGCTTTCTTTTCGCGTTGAACTTCTCGCTCTCAAAAGCCCGTAGGATATCGGCCAAAATTTTTGCGTACGTGGCCAAAGTGCTTCTCTTGACGTCGTAACTTTCCATAAGTTGTCGAAAGAGGCCGCCCTTTAAGGCCCTCAGTATTTCCACTTTCGTCGCTAAATTCTTAGCCTAGTACAGCTGCAACGAAAAACGAGTAGCACATATGACCAGTAATCGGGGCGGCGAAATCGCGACACCCGGCGCCATTTTTCCCGAGCGCCGATAGCGAGAGTGCCAATCACGTTGCAATTTACAATGCGGGGGTGGCCGACGAAAAATTGAGGGATAGGATAGTTGTTAAAATGGCGGGCTTTAGGATCCCCGCGTTGAGGCATAAAACATGACTGTCACTCTCGCTATTGGCACGCTGGGGAACAATAGCCCCGCGTGTCGCGATTTTGCCATTCCGGTCGTCGGTCACTTGTGCTACCCTTTTTCCTTTGCAGCAATGCTTCTGCCGCTTCCTTGCCAGGAGAGTAACGCGCTGAAGCACGGCGATCCAGAGCAAAACTGGTGCGAAACACGGAGAACCGAAAAACCATGGGAAAACCGGAAAAATCACGTGCGCACTTCGGATCGATATTGGTTATACCTTTTGGAAAAGACGGTAGATAGCGCAACCTGCCGAATTCGTCTGAATTTACGATAGTGTGCCGCGTTCCCTCTGAATTAATGAGCGTTTGCTGCCATTGACTAATACATACGTTTGACGGGACCGAATCGGCAGTTCAAATTATCCAAATTTCCATATTAGCGGGGGTTGAATTAACGAGGTTTTACTTTTCAACAGAAACGACTCTACTGTGATCTCGTGGGGATCAGAGTTCGGAACAGGCATGAAGGATTTGGCACGAGAAATATGCCAATGCCATTATTCATTTTTGCAACATTAAAATGACTCTGAAAGTGCGACCAGCTGCAGGGTGTATTAATGCAAATCTTGTGAGTGCTGAATTGTAGGCACAGTGCCCTGGTTGTGTTCATGTGCGATATATGACCAAATGCCATAGAGACCAATACTGCAAACCTCATCGAAAACCAATGGGTGAGGTGGCGAACGGCGTGAGTGGCGCTGTTCACCTCTCTTGCCGTTCATTTGTGTTTGTGTGTTGCCACTTCCAATGGGAAGGCTTCAGCCATTATTGGGAACACTAAATAAACAAATAAAAATGCAAACACAACACACACAGCAATACTGGCAGCAAGTCGAGACGCACTTCTGTTGTAAACTCAGCATTCCGCTTACGAATGGGATGCGCAATTTCCCTACAGGATTTCATTCCACGTGAATGGCATCGGAATTGCTAAAGGCCAGTCCATAAACACAGTCTGCGTTAAAAACAATCAAATCAGCAATAAGTTTTTATTATATTGCTCAATATGTAAAGAACCTTACCATGAACAGCCTTGGCAGTCTTCCATGAAGCCTGGCCTTCAGCAGAGGAAGCTGTCATTCTGTGTTGTCTCAGGACACTCGCATCAGGATGGCGAAAGTGAATGCCAACTTCTACTCGGTAAGGACTGCAGTAAGTATAAACATGAAAACACAGATTAGAATATACGATAAAAAATATCATAGACCAACGTGAAAAAAGTGCACAAAAAGACAAGGACAAAAGGACAGGAACACATAGGACGCAGACTGGTGCGCACTCAGATATGTTGAACATAAAAGAAAAAGGATCAGAGAAATCAGAAAGGCTGTGTTCGGAGAATGCGAGCTTCAGAAACCAGGGCGTGAGCAAAAGATGTCAGGTAGACTGTTTTACAGACACTTTGGAAATAACAACAGCCTTTCCATGTAATAAGGTGGTGAGTTCATTCTGATTGAACATCCTGAAAAGAACCAACCAAAAAACAAGGAATAAAAGAGAGGAATACATACACTACATACGAGTGTAGACTCCCAACTCACAAATTGGAGAAGAAAAAAATAAAGAATGCGAAAGGAGCTTTAACAAAAGTTCGAACAGGTCCAAGTGGAATGTGCTAACTCCCACCCATATGCATAAGACTGTAAACACAATTTTCTTGGCATTTCAGGTAACGGACGGATGTGCGGACACATTGGTCGCCCATACTAAGAATAATAAAGGCCTAAAATAATCCCCTTGTATGGTTTTCACAGTATCTGCTAATTATTCACGTTTTCTCTAAAAGCCTCGTCCCACTAGAGCGACAAACACCGATTTTCGTCCGACGACACCACAAAGTTCCATGTCGCCGATGCTGTCCCACTGCAACGGCCAACGCCCGCGACAAATAATAGAGGCGGAGGGTACCGCGCTCTTCCAGACATTCTAGTTTACCAGTGAACAATACGGTGGAGGGGGGCAATCAAACAACCCCCCTTTCCCTTTCCGCCTCCACCCGCCGGCGGGCCGGCCCCCCCGCGCGCCCGCCGCTGCCGCGGTTTCCCCCCCCCCCCCCCCCCCCTCCTCCATCTCCCCAAACGTTCCGCCGCTACTGATGGACCTCGAGCGAGTATGCAGCCTATTTTTGAGCGAAGAAAAACAGCCTCGCATTACCCCATTCGCGCACAATTAGTAATACTGGTAAAAGCAAGCGATCTAGACAATAACAAGGATTTTGAACGGAGGAAAGAATAATCTAGCCCTAACAGACAAAGAAAGGAACTTACTTTGCAACAACCGTACCATGATCTTGGCTGTTGAGCAGATTTGACGTAGTTCCACGGCTCACAGTCGCTTCCTTCTTGTTTAGACACATTTGAAACTAAGGTAAACTCCACGCATCATGACTAATCGGTTAATTGACCTGAAGACAGAGATATGAAAACCCACACGCCCGGCCAAATGTGCAAAAAAAGGGCTGTGGATTGGATTGGATTGCATTGGTTGGCTCTAATGGATATCTAGCGACTTTACGGAAACTATCTTCAACACGCTTGCAATAAAACGACCAGCAATGCAAATTAAAAACAAAAAAAACAAAAAAAAAACATTAGTATACACAGTAATAATAACTTATTTAGCATGTAAACATTGCCACAATAATATAAATGCGTCCTGAACACGTAGCAAAAAATTAAATAGGAAACTAACCGCACAATGTATCCAACCGACTTCAGCAGACGTATAATCTTTTAAAACATCAGACGTTCTGTATGAAGGGACCCGACCTTCATCGCCGTGCTGCACCACCTTGGATTCCCACATCTCGGGAATTGGATGGTGAGCACCAGTGGCCGCACGACCAAGGGAGCCGCCCTGAGGTTCTACAAGGAAATCGCCAGCTCCATCGAGTTTCTGCAGGCCCAATTTTCCTGGGAATACCTGGCGACCGTCGGAAAGAGGCGGCTCTACTGGGATGCCGTTTCCGCATCCTTCCCGCCACCGCTCTACAGACAACCACCGACGCCCGACGACGCGACGCGACTTTACAAACTCGTGCGAATCCTTCCCATCCCTGTGGCGACAAGGGACTTCTTCGTCCGGATGCACATGGAGGTCCTTCCAGTTAAAACCTGGCTCCATCACAAGGGGTTCTTCGTGCCGTGGTCCCTAAACTGCGACCTTTGCGGGGCGCCCGAGACCATCCAGCACGTCTTAGTCGAGTGTAGCAATGCCTACCTCTTCTGGGACGAGATGAGGACGACGTTTGAGCTCAGGGACTCCTTCGAAGTGGAGTGGAGCGTCTTCAAGTATCTGCAACTCGGGGAGAGGGATAAGACGGAGGTGGCGCACGTGATGATGCTGCTGGGCCTGCACGCCATCTGGCAGTCGCGTACCGCAATGGTGCAATGCCATCTCGACGCGCGTCCAACCTGGAGCTACTTCGTGTCCACGTTGGGGTGGGTGCTATCGGTGACGTCGCGGCAGCCGAACGCGGGTGGTTGGGAGTGCATCGAGCGACAACTCGAGGAAGGGCGTCGCCGCTGCGTGCAACGACGTACGCCAGGCGTGGGAAACTGGCGAGTTCCTGTGAACTGTAGGCGCGTTGGCGTTGGCTGAGGTGCGCGGTGCGCGAAAGTGGACCGCGGCTCTTCCCCCCTTGGAACTTCGCGTCCTTTTTTGTTCGATTTATTGTTTTTTTTTTTCGTACAGATTACATAACCGCTCACGCGGTCTCATACTGTATCGTTTGCGTTTCCTCTCAATCGTTTCCGCCAAGTCTGGTCAGGTTTGTGGGACAGCTATTTACCGCACGGCGATAGCGTATCTTTCTTTTTTTTTCTCTCTTTTCAGAGTCTTTAGTTTTCTTACTCGTCTCTACAGTTTGTATAACGTTTCTATACGAGCTATCCACCTGTCGTTTTCTGAATTACTTTTCAATTTGGTCTTGTATAATGTTTGCGAAACCTACTGCAAGGATGTCTGTAAATAACTTGTTAATAAACTTGTTTCGTTTTGAAAAAAAAAAAAAAAAATGTCGGTTCGGCTTTGGTTGTTAACGCGTCCTGCTGGTAACGTAGTGGTCGGTGGTTCGAATCCCACTAGAGAGAAAGTTTTCTAATTTTTTTTTATCGCGTTTTTTTCTTGTTTTTATTATTTTAAATATTTGCTGTGTTTTTTGCAGTCGCCGGCCCCTACTTTAGGGTAAAAGTCACGCAGAATGTGAAAATAGAAAGTGCGAGCCCAAATTTGAGTTGATGCAATGCACAAACCGTGGCCCTCCTGTTTGCCGGGATAAATCGCTCCCTCCGTGCTAATAGGTTCGCTGGTGTAGTACGCAAACAGCGCAAGTGCTTTCAACGAAGTAAAGAAGCTAATAATAATGGGAATATTGAGAGAAAAATGGGAAAATGTGTATGTAAATGGTCAAACTGCCACAGTGATGCAGCCGAAGTTTGTCTGAAGGCGGTCACCTTTAGCCACTATTAAAACAAAAATACCGCTATTTTAAGGCAGTTATTTACCTGAGCTCATAGCGTGCTACGTATTGAGCACATGTCTTAATTTTCTGACTTCCGGAAAGTAGTACTTAATTTTGTTCTGGCACATCAGTGATATCCATCGCCTGCCCCCTGGTTTTACTTATTGAGGTTGTGCTCCGCAATTTTACTTTTTTATTAGGCCGATAATGTTTTTATTCCTGAGATCGAAGAACAGTGCGGATAAATAAACTAGCTTTCAGAAACGGTATCGTTCGGTGTGATAACATTTATGTTTTGTAGCGCCAAGGGGTCACATTCACAAACCCGGCAGTGTAAACACCCACAACGCCTTTGTGTTTCCCGTTTTATCGTGTTAAAAAAAAAAATGTTTTTGTATTTACTTTTTTTGGTGCGGTATGTCGCATAACATAAGCTATCGGGGACAGATCATCTGGCTATGTGAACATTTGAAATATTTCTGTTAGATGGTCGTAGCTACCACAGAAAATAGTCGATTCTTGCCTGAAATAGCATATTTTCACACTCAATTAAAATCACCAATAACATGATCTCAGGAAAGTTGTGTACATCTCGCAGCGTCATAAGCAAAACGCACATCTCTTTCTTGTCCAGATTCTGCAATGTAATGCAAATTATTGTTTTTGCAACTCAAAGCGCGTGCTCAATCATGCCACGTGTTCGTTAATTGTGGTTGTTGTTCTTTACTCGGATTCTCCGCTGTACCGTTTTTATTTTATTTTTCTTATCAGTGCCAGACACGTGCGTATACCACCGACCTTAAGTATAGTGCATCAAATTAAACTAGCTTCCTGAAAAGGTGGCGTTCGGTGTTGTGTAATTTATTCTTCATAGCGTAGGTGGTCAGAGTCTCGAATCCTTAACTGCAAATGTTCCACGCCGCATTATTTTTTCTTGCGTTTTCGCGATAAAACACGTCAGCCCTGCCATGCTGGGATCAAATACACCAGCGTCGGCAGTTATTTGCGAAGGATTGATCTACGCAAATATTTCCACTCGCTATTCATGAATTGCCACAGTTCGTCAAAATCTGGAGGACTTGACTGCATAGTAAAAACGAAAAAAAAAAAAAAAAAAGATAAAACGATGTCGGTCAGTAAACGGAACTTCCATGGCGGGGCTCGCCAGCCTGAACAGCAAAGCGCCGATGCCGGCCAGTCACTGAACTTCCGTGTAAATACTGGCCATCAAAGACAGCAAAGTGCCGATGCCGGCCAGTTACTGAACTTCCATGTAAATACTGGCCAGCAAAGACAGCAAAAACCCGATGCCGGCCAGTCACTGTAACTTCTTCGGCGGAACTGACCAGTGAGCAAGACGAAACCCCGACGCCGGCCGTGGCCGGTAGCTCACCGGCGCCAATGGCCGGGCGCCGCCATCCTGTTACCGGGACCGGCCGGCGTAGTCCCGATACCGGCCGACGCGGTGTGCTACCTGGGTAGGTGTAGCATGTGCTGCATTTGCTGGCATTTTACTTAAACATTCACTCCAAAGGGGTTCAGTCTGAATTCTTAAGAATGCACACTGCAATACCTGGAGACGGAATAAATGAGAGGCATTTTCCTTCTCTTCCCCAAATATAAAAATACATGCCTGAAACATGGAGAAAAAAGAAGACTACTGTCCGCCCCTCCCCAATACCACGGTGTATAGGCTTAAAATTTTCTCTCTTTGAAAAAAATGTTTGTATAGGAACTGTCTAAGCTAGGTATATGTTTTTTGTTTCCTCTCCCGATATTTTCTCACATTAGCTTTGTATGGTTCCGACACGATAATTCTAGAGGGCTCACCTTTGCCTGCTGGATTTAGAGTGAAATAAGTAAGACAGTAACAGCACGGTGATGCCGCTATATTTGTAGGAACGGAGTGTGCATTGTCTGTAGCCCAGAAAAAGTCTTACCAGGAACGTTTTGAAAAGTCGGTATTGATGAAAGTTAAAATACGCCTCGGTTCAATTCTACGAGTTGCGTCCTTACTATCTCGAGAAAGCTTTGCCATTCTAATTAATGCTTATTTCGTGCTGGTCGTGACGAGATGAATGCAACAATGGTGTTGGCTCCAGCGCGATTTGCGTATTTCAAAAGGCAACTAAGGCGCTCGAGAAATTTAGCTCCACGAATTTGCGTTTGGAGTGATTGAGACCGTTCACAAAAGATCGTTTCATTATGTCCCGATCGCACTAAGGCCTAAAGTGGCAAGTAATTTTGGGAAATCAAGACACCAATCCACATTTAGAATGAATGCTTCTTCGTGATGAACTTCCCTTTCCTTTGAATAGATCTTTGACCTCGTGATAATCAGGACGCCTTTGGCAACTGTCCTATTGTGAGCGAGTCTCCGTGGTATCGCTGACGTGGAGCCGGATGCCTTCTTGCTCCACGTCACCTTCGTGTCATCCCACTGCTTTTTTTGCTTTTTACCTTTATTAAAATAAAGCGTTAAAATTGGAAGTTGATCAATAAATAAATATGAAAGTATAAAATGATGTGCATTTTGTTGAACGTTCTATTCTTTCTTCTCATATTCAAGATTACACTTTGTGCGAAGATGTAAATATTGAATGCTATAACATATTAAGCTACTCACCACATATTTCTTTCTTGAATCTGTCCTAGAATAGGTTTCTCGCTAAAGTTTGCAGAAAAGTGTTGCTGCCGAAGTTACCAAGTAGTTTTCCTCTCAAATTTACAGGAGAATTCAACGGCACGTGTTTTCTGAACAAATGCAGTTTTAACGCAAAATGAATAAAAAAAATTGACGTCTCGTGAGTTATGCACATTTTCAATTTTCCCGCTACATTTATAGGCAAAGCTAACGTTAACTAAATTTTCAAAAATTCAGTTTCCGTGATCCATTCTTATTTCTCGAGATCAAACACCTGCCAGTGTGTGCAACGATAAATGCTATCGCATTCAAAGGTAATCAGCGTTTAGAGCCGCATGTTTAATGAACGTACTCCTTATTTCTATGCGACTACATTTCGTCTCACCCTACAATGGTCTAAAGGCAAAGGCTACGGACCCCCAGATCCAACCACGAGCCACTTAGAAATTCTGTGCTCTTTCGCGTCGATACAAGTATATGTGCCCGGGTCTCGGATCACTGATGGGGACGGGCGGACAGTGCTTCGAATCGAATAGCAGTGAGTGACTCAACAATATTACATTGCCAAAAAAGCCACGACCTAGAGGCTCTTTGTGGTGTCGAGGCTAATGAAATGATGAGGCGCTTTTGGGTTTGGAGCATTATTCGTTCACTTCAAATCAATGCTAAGCATGTCACAGTTTAGCGTGGAACATGATTGGACCTGGCGGCAAGTGGCTTTGGCTTTTGTCAATCGTAGGATAAGACAAAGTATGGCATACTTAGCGGGCACAACCAGAGATTCGGAAGAGCAATCATTGAATCATGTGCCTTGGGGACTGCCAAAAAGAACATTTTTGCACCTTCATTATTCGCAACCCCAGCGCGCCGCTCGACCTCCAGCGGACCAACGGGGAACCAGAGGAGCGGGGACGGCAGCGGCAGCGGCGGCGCGCAAATGGTGGCAGAGACTGTCGGCCTTGATCCGTGAAGCCGTCTTAACAAAAAAAGTTAGCGTGTTAAAAAATGATTTCTTGTGCTCCGCCTTGCAACAGCCTTGCACAAAGGACCGGGAGGTCTAATTTCATTAGCGGCTTTTCGCGTATCGCATATGCTGCGGATGTTTGTTATTGTGCATGGCCGCCAGCTCAATCTGTGCTCAACGTAACGGAAAACGCTCCCGCTAATAATGAAGAACCCTATAGTAGAGTGTACGGAAAGTCTAATCTTTGCCATAAGTAGGAGAAAACTCGTCGCGCAACGGTATGTCGAGCAATACAAAATGGGAATTGGTTCGCGTTTTAAGGCCGTTACAAGGAACGTCACCATTTATTCCAAGCACTTTAAAAAGACAAAACGCCCGTACTGGCTTTCAGGTAATTACAAAGCAAGTAAAGAAATGCTCGAAGCATTCTAAGCGCGTCTGTGTTAGCCAGCCTTTTGTGACGACAGCTTAGAACGTGCAGTTTTGGCCAGAGGGACCGCTATGTTGCAAATAACAGGTTACAACAAATGCGCGGTATATTAAATTGGTTTTTATTTGATAGACAAATGAATAAAACCTCTAAACACGCCGATTATGTTAATAGGCAGTTTTTGCATAGCATACGACACCCCTAAACTCCAGTTGGACGAACAGCGCATTGACGTTCAACAGGCGCTACCAACTTTCACGAGCGGTTTGATAGCCGAGTTATGCAAGTTATTAAAATAGATTAAGTAAGTGTAAATGACTGTAAAAAAAAAGAAAAAAACGTAATCGTATTTTTTTTTGGCCCTTCTGGAAAACTTCTGTGTTTTTTTTCTTTTCGGTACTCTTTAAGGCGTACTTTAGCTATTTAATATCTTATATTGCGCCGTCATCAAGCCTCTCGTAAATGTTGGGGCC